CGATGTTCTTGAAGGTCGATGATGAGACAGTTCTTCACAACATTCCGTACATGGGAGATGAGGTACTAGAACAAGATGGCTCCTTCATTGAGGAACTCATCAAAAACTACGATGGAAAAGTCCATGGGGAGAAAGGTGAGATAATCAAAGAAACAGAAAATACAGCCTTGGTAAAAAGAAGCGCCCCCCCAAAAAAAAGATGTAATAGATTTATTAAACAACAGGTAATGTAGTGTCTACCGCAAAACTTAATAGGATAAAAGTAATATTCCCATCAGAATGAAACCTGGCAATCAAATTGTAACATGTCAGAGTGCTTTTGAAAATCTGATTCTTTCTGAAACTAGCATGATTAAAATTTATGGTAAAAAAAAACTCAAACGATGCATGGGTATTAGAGAAATTCTTGAGTTGTTTTCCTTTCATTAATCCTAACCTTTCCGAATCTTGCAAAATCCATGTGGATAATTTTTAAGGCTTTTGCATGATTGAGTGCATTGGAATGTGGAAAATAATCTACCTCAAATTGAGTTTGGTGACCCTTGAAAATTAAGGTGCAAGTAAAATTACCAGCGGATTTTGGCAAAAATGCCAGTGTTAATCCTGACCTGACCCTGAACTTTTGTTCCATGTACTACTGGTTGTTTGATGCCATCAGAATGCAGTTTCATCGATGATGATGCCTTCGTTGCCCTTGTCAAAAGCGTGGCTGTGGCCGAACAAGTGGAGCAGGGGATACTGGACAAAGTTGGTAAGCTGAAATAATGTCTGAAATATGAATTCATATTGTTGTTGTTGTTGTTGTTTTGTTTTAATGGCACTTTCAGCATCTCAGGCTATTTGTGCCAATAACTGTACGTTTAGTTATACACTTTATTAATCAGCATCACATTACGTAGTTAGGAAGACGGTCCAGTTTTAGAGGCAGGAGGAAATTGGACTACCCGGAGAAAACCTACGAGAGCGAGTATGGACTGGAAACCAAATGCACTTAAAGCCTAGGCCAAGCCAGGACTCAAACCCGGGCCTCATTGGTACAAAGCGAGGAAAGAACCGCTACGCTAACCGGCTCCTGCAATTCATATTGTGAAATTGTGGATTTCATTTAAACATCGCTCTATTTTGGAATCAGGTAGTTGCTTTACTTTTCTCATGCAACCCGTCTCAAATTATTTTCCCCCTCAGAAGAACAGCCTAAGGGATTTCCCTCGGATAATGTGTTTGCTGCCATAGCGAGTCAATTCCCGGACAAGGGCAAGACGGAAGATCTCAGACAAAGGTAAAGGCTGGTTGGCATATTGTACGGAAGAAAAAAAAAATATGGGCCTTATTGTTAACCACTTGCTGCTGGGTGGTTTGAAAAATGCAGTGCACATAATCGGGACTTTTTCAAGATTTTCAGTTTTCAAAATTCTGCAAAAATTCATCATATTAATTAATGCGCATTTACACCCACACGAATTACTGTCTGGTAGCCACTCTAGTCTGACAGACAAAATCTATTGACGCCCGAGTATTTCAGCCAGGCCTGCTGCCTTGTAAAAAGAGCCCCGATTGTGCGTAGTTATGTAACTTTCTTTTGTTCATGAACCTGGCGAAGTGCGCTACTGACCTCTTTTCAGTAGGGGCCAGATTAGCGTGCAGCAGTGCTGTGTGGCTCATTGCTACAGTGGTGGAGCGCTTTTGTCCCCGTTGGTAATCTGCTCGTGCTAAATGCCCCAAGCCGTGGTATACCGTTTCAAAACAAGGCTGGATTATCTCCACTATTGAGAGTGAAAAAATGTCAGTAATGCCCAGCAGCCTGGTGTTTTGTTCCGAGTACGGTCTTTTGTTAAAGGCCCAGTTCCCTTCGTCCGATTTCAGAGACCCCGGCTACACGTATAAACACAATGGGGCCCGAAACTGGAGTCCCCAGCGGCAAGTGGTTAATGGGTTTCAATCCCATCTGAGTGGGCTTGCAAACTTGCCCCAACAAAAGCTCATTCTGTAGATGGTGTGCAGTGCTAAAGTTGTATCACCAAAGACAAAACCCAAGATAAAAAAAAATCCATATCTGCCGATGCAAAAAAAAGAAATTAGGCATCCACATTTATTTTCAAGGATATTCTCAAAGTGGGCGGCTGATTTTCCCAGCTGTTGCTGCTTAAATAATCTTTGTACCCAGTCTGGTTCATAGGTAACTATGACGTTTTTGTTGGCACTTGACTGATAAGTGCCTATTGGCTGACACGCCAACTTTTCACAATCATCCAATGGCTCCATTGCCACACTGTAAGTGGGCTGGGTTTAAGTCGCAACAGCGTCAAACTAATGAACCGGATTCATGTATCAGGAGGTAGTGACATTTCCCCGTGGAATTTCCTAGCATGCCAAGCTTGGAAATATCTCTGTATTTGCTCTACAAAAGAATTTTGTTATTCTGGGTCGTTTTTAAATGTAGGTATCGTAACTTGCTAGAGAAACAGAATTCCACCTCTGTGGTGTTAGAGTGCACCCCTAACATCGATGGTCCAACAGCCAAGTCTGTCCCTCGTGAGCAGACCATGCATTCCTTCCACACCCTCTTCTGTCGCAGATGTTTCAAGTATGATTGCTTCCTCCACCGTAAGTATTCAAGGAAAGATTGACTCCCTGATACCGGGAAGTTTTTATTTGCCTTTCTGCTCCTCTTCTCAGAATAATTTCATTCATGTTCTGGTGCTTCTCGAAACAAGTCTTTAGCCAAGATGCCGTCTCCTTCAGGCTTAACCATCTGCTGCCGGGTGGAATTTGAAGTTGCATGATGTAAAACTGGGAGATTTTCAAGATTTTCCGTTTTCTGTTTTCCAAATTCTTCAAAATCGTAGCTTCATTTACTGGACATTTACGCCCACATGAATAAGTGTCTGGTGACTACTCTAATCTGACAGACAACATTTAGTGATGTCCAAGTATTTCAGCCAGGTCTGCCGCCTTGTAAAAAAGAGCCCAGATCGTGCGGTGTTATGTAACTTTCTTTGTTCCCGAAACTGGCACAGTGCGCTGCTGGTGTCTTTTCAATACGGGCCAGATTAGCGTGCAGCCGTATTGTATCGCTCATCGCTGGAGTACTTTTGTCCCTGATGGTAATCCACCCGTACTGAATGCCACAAACAGTGGTATAATCTCTCACAATAAGGACAGATTTTCTCCCCTACTGACAACTGATAAAAATGTTGGCAATTCCCAGTAGCTCGGTCTTTTGTTCCGAGTACGTTCTTTTGTCACAAGGCTCAGCTCTTTTGTCCGGTTTCGGGCTTCCCAGTTTCGTGTTTAAAGCCTATGTGCCTGAAACCGGGCTTCCCGGCAGCATATGGTTAAGAGTCACCATCAAAAGGGATTTTGTTTGTATAGCATAAATATCGACAGTTTTATCCATTTCTGAGGTTGAAAATAAAGCTTGACAATTTTGTTCTCGGGCTTTAACAAGACACACAGTTGCAGAAGGGAGGTTTCATACAACTTTAGTCCATTATTCAGATATTCAAGATCTGTTCTTATGGTGGTGTGTGACAGTAATAATTACCTAACTTCATTCAGTACATCAAAGTTGTGTTTTGCGTGACTTTTTTTATGCCCAGCCATTGTTACTTTACATGAAGCTAAAGGTCTTAAGACTGTAGGATAACTAATGTAGCATTTGGTTTTACTGCACCATGCTTTGGAGGTAGTGATGGCAAGTTAGCTCTGAAGAGTACCTCGAGGTAGAACTACCCAACAATGCAAAATAATGGATTGTATTAACCATTTTTCAGCCTACCACCCCACACCGAGCCAGACAAAACCAAAGACGTCTGAGGTACGTCAGGAAACCGAGCCTTGTGGGCCAGACTGCTTCATGTTACAGGTAAGAATCACTACGAACTAATCCAATAACCAAATAACCAGGAGTTGGAGCTTTTAGAGAGGTTGTCTGTTCTGTTGTATCCATGTATATTTACTAAACCTCCGGATAGAGGGCTCTGCAGCCATAAGGGGAACTGCCAGGGAAACAGGTTGACACACAGACAAGCCGCAGATGCACTCAGGTTTGGGTTTGGGATATGACTGACCAGTGGGTGGGTCGCATGCAGCAGAGCAGGCCACATGGCCCAGGTCATGCCTGACTGGTTTATTGTCACGTCATGTACATAAACAAAAAACAAACATGACCCTTTCTGAATTTAGATCACTACAGTACTCAGGCTTAATATCTTAATGGTGGGCGTGGCCATGCAGTTTGGGTTAAAGTTGGCTCTCAAGGCAAAGGTACAAGGATGAAAACAGTAGTCAACCTACAGCCAACTACCATTTGTTGATCAGACTTACTCGCTCAATCTTCGTACATTCTCTTTAGCTTTATAAGATACCACACGGAGCAAAGTATCTTCCCAATGTTTGACTCAGTTCTGTCTTTTTTAGCCCAAAGAGCCAGTCAACAGTCCACCCAGCACCCCTGAGAGAAACCGTGCTGCTACCAGGAGGCACATGTTCCGGTCAGACGAAGAAACAACCCCCAAAAGACAGAAGTCAAACCAGGACAACGAATCCACTCCCGAGAAGTTGAACCCAGGTACGATGCCTGTTCCTGAAAAGCTGAATAATAGTCACTGTATAGGACATTGTGCTTTGAGAAAAGACGGTGTCTTCACCAAGGGGTACAAATGTATGTCGCATCTCCTGGTACAGTTTTTGCATCACTCAGAAGCTTCAAACTGGTTTGTAAAAGTGTGTGCTTCATGAAAACCAGCAGCAAGGAATACACTTGAGCTTTTTTAGCTGGTAACTTGGTTGTGCAAAACAGGTATTTTTTAACCTAGGCCACTCCTGTGCTGCTAAGCTCCATGAGATTGGCCTGTTGTGGCACAGTGTATACCAAACTGTTTAAAGTGACTCTCTGTAATGTTGTCACAACATAGTTTGTCACTTTACCCGCAGTTTGTGTAGTTGCTTGTGATAATGTTTCCACTTAAAATTATAATTTGTGGTAAAAACTTGTGCACGGCTTTTTGGTTTCCTTGAAATTACAGGATCAATAAAGTTAAAGCTCACAGTAAGTTTTGCAGTGTACTTCTTGAGATTGTGGGTGCTGTTGCCATAGAAATTTAAGAAAAACTTACCAAAATTGCCATACAGGGATATTTAGAGTGGTGCCATAATTTTCATCTTAATTGTAATGGTTCCACTGTTCCCCGCCTCTCCTAGCAGCCACTGACTCCGCCTCTGATGGTAAGCCAATTGATACCAGCAATCCAGATAGCGAGTGGAGCGGTTCTGATGCCTCACTCTTTAGAGTTTTGAGAGGGGTTTGGTTCAACAATTACTGCACCATCGCTTTGCTCCTGAAAACAAAGACTTGCAGACAGGTAACCAACAATCTTTGAATTCAAAATGGACCAGCTTTCTGAGCTTATATGGGGTTGAACTTTGGAGTTGCGCTTTGGAAGAGTGGTACGGAGATACAGAATCATACATGGAGTTTTACTGTGTGTCACTTAGTAACCAAATGAAAGAATTTCCTGAAAGTGCACATGACAATGTAACTCGTGAGCATGGACAAATCTGGAGAGAAGAAAAAAAGAGGTGGAAGGAGAAACTCACTATTCTAGGGAAATCACAGGAATTAGGTAGGCTGAAATTCCCTGTTTGTACTTTGGCCCAAGTGGGATTCGAACCTAGTTCGCAGAGATGGAAGGTGAGGAACATATCGCCACCTCAACCTGAATCCTCCAGCTTTTAAATTTTAAGAAATTGTTCATTGCGTTATCTAATATCTGGTAATTTTCAGTGCAGTTTCACCTGGCTTGGGAAAAACAGTTCCCTGTAGGTAAGTCTAATTTGTTTCAATCTGCCACATTCTTGGCGCGTTTTGTTCTCTTTTGTTGTCAGGTTTGTGAGTTTGCCTTGAAGGAAGGTGAGATAGTGGAACTCCCCCCGGAGCGAAACCCCACCCCTCCCAGGAAGAAGAAAAGAAAGCAAAGGTAATATCATGGACGTAGACTTGAAACCTGGCCTAATATATGAGGAAATGCAATGCCCTCGTACCTCGTACCAAGATCTCACCAGTTTCTGCACGCTGCAATGTTGCCAGTGCCTATGCTTACTTATGGAAATAATGTTAATTAACATGACCTTGTGTCATCACTCGCTGGCAGCTATCTTACTGTTGCAAGATGGAAAAAAGGAATTCATTCTTTAAGTTCGCAAAACTTTGCCATATATTTGAGTTTAAAGTGTTCATTGGATGTATGCAATTGTCTTCAGTACATCTATGCTTGGCTTTTGTGGATATGCAAACAAAAAGGGCTATGAAACACCTGTTATTGTTTCACCTCTGACAGAATGTGGTCGATGCACTGCAGAAAGATACAGCTGAAGAAAGGTACATGTAAACTCTTCCAAGTTTAATTCCTGCTGTCTTTTTTTAATGTAATCCTCACTTTCTTTGTAAAGGAAACCGTTCACCTCTTTGGCCTGAAAAGGGATAGCCTTTTGCATACGTATCCTATTCCCCGAATACGCTGAGATTCTCTGGACCTTGTCTTTGGAATAGTATTCATGGTAATGTTAAGTCCCAGTCATCTGTGGGATGCTTGAAGAGCAACTACAAAAATCGTTTCTGATTATCTCAGATAGCTCCTTCTCTTTTATGATTCTAATCTTCTTTTTGTTCTTCTAACGTTTCTAGTGTTTGATAGTTCCAATTTCTGTCACATCTCAGGCTGTTGGTTCGTCTTTGTTTTGTTTTGTTCTTGTTTTGACTGTATTGTACTGCAATTGGCTTTTTTATGTATAATTTGACTTATGTCTTTTTGTTGTCTTAATAAGGCATTTCTGTGTAAGACTTTGTCTCCTGAATATGCCTCCGTGTTTGCCCCCTTTTATTTCAATGTCTCATGGTCTTATTTAACTTTCACTCTTGAAGTCATAAATCTTTCATTTATTGACCTTGTGTATAACTTGATATATACATTGCAAAGCGGAAATAAATGTTGAGTCAAAAAAAAAAGGTCTTAAAAATGCAAGCATTCCCCTGTTCAAAGTGGAAAGTACTGAAAGGATTAGGAACTAAAATGATATTTTTGAGTATGGTCATATTCAGTGTGAAAGTTATTGCTGGCCCAGTTATGGGATAATTTTTATTTAGATTCTCTCTTACTAGCAAAACTTAAATGTTCATGAATAGATAAGTTTATTTGGAATGGTCTTGCATTCTTTGCAGACTCCACGGCCAGCCATGTGTACAATTACCAGCCCTGTGACCACCCAGGCAAGCCGTGCGATGCGGAATGCAGCTGCATCATGCTGCAGAACTTCTGCGAGAAATTCTGTCAGTGCAGTTCCGACTGTGAGTTAGAAAATGGTTTACTAGGTTTTTTTTGTTGTCCCTAGGACTGACTCCAACAATGGTCAGTGACCATATCAGTTGAAGTGCTGTTTGTAGATGTCATAAATGAATATGTTGTAGGAGATGATGTGAAATTGACGACTGTGTTATTTGTCAATTTCTGATAGAAAGTGCACAAGGCTGCGGCATAAATTGTGCACCAATACCCAATGAATGCAGGGCCAGGTTAGTGTAGGAGTTGCATTGTAACCTACCTCTAAGGACAGGCTCAATTCTCATCTTGATAAACCATGTGGATTAGGGTTTGCCAGTTGCAACTTGATCAAGTTGGTGGTCCTCTAAAATAACATCTCAAGGCTTTGCTACCAACTTAGAGAAGTTACTTTGTTCTCAGTTTATCTTCTCACTTCAAGCTGAATGCTGAGAACAATATGTGCTGAAACACTCATTAAACCTTGAGATTTTGGCCCAGAAAGAGAGTCAGGTTTTTTGGATCTCCTCACAGCCAGGGATAGATTCTACCCTTGGCTGTCTTTTTGAAACTTGGCATACATATTGAGACATTCATCATGAGTTCATCCGTGAAGTTTCAATTCAATCTAGCATTGTATGTTTGTTTCTTCTGCTCATTTACTGTTCCTGGCTTCCCATGTCAGTCTAATGCATTTAGTACATGGATGGGAAAGGTTAACATTTTTGTCTGACCTGCCTCAGAAAGAGTTCTTAAAATTGGAGTCAAAATGATTGAAAGATATTACTGGCATTAAGGCTCAGTGTGAGAAAAAACTTGTTTCAGTGATACCAGGGAAAACGTTGAGGTCCTCTCCTCCACCTGGCTCCTTGAGAATAAAAAGAGATGAACCTTGGAGTTTAACAGATTTAGCATTAGCCGATGATTTAGCGTTAGTAGAAGTATTACTGTTCGTGTTTACTCTAATCCACTTTGAGCAGAGGCACCCCCCCATCGGTTGAAAAAAGCCATATTGGTTGGGAGTGTTCATTTTGTTAGTAGCAGTGTGACCGTAACACATGCATTTCGTAGTCGTTCGTGAAGCAGTGAAGTTCAGTTCATACTAAAGGAGCCTCTGGTGGTAAGAAACATGCACCCTCTCTTGGCCCAGCTTGAGGTTCATAGGGTTCTGACGTCCACAAAATGAGCTGAAAGATTCCCCTGAATATCATTCAGTTTGATTTAAGCACATTTGTGAGTAAACTAAGCAGAATAAGGCTACCAGTCAAAATACATGTGGTGTGCACTGGTATAGATTGGTATCCTGATGTTTTAAATTTGCTTAGCATTGCTTTTTTGCTTTGAAGCCTTGGGAAACAGCCAAAATGATCAGTAGATACATATTATGTTTGACTAGTTCCCAAGTGATTTCAGAATAACCAGATTTAAGGTGCTCAGTGGCTCCCATGAAAGGACCCTGTGCTCCCAACTGACACCCAAGCTGTATATTTTTTCTTTTGTTCAGCTGTTCTGTCTGTTTCTGTCTTCTTGCAGGTCAGAATCGTTTCCCTGGATGCCGATGCAAGGCGCAGTGTAACACCAAGCAGTGCCCTTGTTACTTAGCAGTCCGGGAATGTGACCCCGACCTGTGTGGCACCTGTGGAGCCAGTAAGTTGACAAATCCCAGGAAACATTATTACCTAACTGGCATCACACTCCCTTGCTTGTTTAAACTTGAAGGGTGCGTGCATTAGGCAAGTTGCAACACCCTATTGGGTGAAGAGGCTTGTAATTATGCGAGTACCGACTATGTACAAACATGATGCCATCACAGTTATAACTTCTACTTCTGGTCTGTTAATAGAACTAAATTAGACAGTGTTTATCTTGAAATGCATTTTAAAACTACGTTCCATTTGAAATAAGTAAAATTTGAAGCATTGCATGGTGGGAGTTACGTGAGATGTAGGCTTGTGGGTACACTATGGAATCAATCTCTCTTTTGAAACTACCAGAATACATGTATGTCGTGTTTCCAAGAATGGTCCCGATCTTTAATTGATCTTTAATCCTTCAGTGTTGATTGGCGTTATTTTACTAACACTTGTCTTGGATTGTTCTGTTGCTGTAAGCATATGTATGGTGAAAATTGTAATGTATGTATTTATTCAAATTAGCTTGCAGCTAATTCACTTTTTGGCTTGTGGTTTTTAAAACAAAGAAGATGATTTTCGTATGTCTTGATTTACTCTTATCAACAATCAAGAATGTTAAATTTTTTAGAACCGTGATTATGAATATTGTGCTTCTATGTGCAGTGGAACGTTGCTAT